GCCGGTGTGTGTGGCCATCGGCCAGGCGCTGGGCCTGCAGGAGGAGTCCAACGGGAAGCAGGAGGGCAGCTGGTGGTTAAGAAAGCAGGCTTTGGCGCGGCGCGGTGGCTCAAGCCTGTAATCCCAGCACGTTTTTTGGTGAGGGCCCGAGACCGGCAGATGCACTGGACGGGTCAGGAGATCGAGACCCATGCCTGGATAACACAGTAAAGCCCGTCTCTACTAAAAATAGCAAAAAACTTAGGGCCGGCCGAGTTGGCGGGCCGCCTGTAGTCCCGGCAGCTAATTCCGGGAGGCTGAGGCAGGAGAATGGCGTAAAGCCCAGGAGGGCGGAGGGCCTTGCAGTGACCTGAGATCCGGGCCAGCTGGGGCAGTTTTGTTCCTCGCAGCCTGGGTGACAGAGCGAGCACCTCGTCTCAAAAAAAAAAAAAAAAAAAAAAAAAAAGGCCGGGGCCCGGTGGCTCAAGGCCTGTATCCCAGCACTTTGGGAGGCCCGAGGCGGGTGAATCACGAGGTCAGGAAGATCGAGACCAATCCCTGGCCTAATCCGAAGCCACCGTCTCTACTAAAAATACAAAAAACTAGCCCCGGCCGTGGTGGTGCCTGGCCAATCAGGCTGGTCTCAAACTCCCAACCTCAGGTGATTCGCCAGCCTCAGCCTCCCAAAGTGCTGGGATTACAGGTGTGAGTCACCGTGCCTGGCCAACTTCCATTCTTTTTATCCATGATGCAGGTATATCATGTAAAGCCTCAGGATCTCTGCAAAGATCCTATGAAGCCACTGTCCTCTCCCATCCTACTTGTCCCCACTCTCTCAGCTGATTCCCTGGGTCTCGACCCCCTCTCCCGTGTCCTTTCCTGCAGAGCCTGTCTCCCCTAGACTTAAATGCCTGTCTGGTTTCTTTGGTTTGCTTTTCCATGAACTCAGCACTGATTCACCTGCCCTCTGGAGATGTCTGTGTACCTGACCTTCTGTCCATTTCATCTTCTTGCAGACAACGATTCCCTGGAGCCTCCTGACATGGGACCAGGACTGGTGCCCCCCTGCTCAGCGGGGAGCTCCCTCTGACACACCCAGGGTCACCTGCCCCTGAGTGCACACGACTCCCAGGGGCCACATCTCATTCCTTGTGAAGTGGCCTCTCTAATGACAAACGGGAAAACCTGATCCACTTGGTGACACTGAGTTCCACCCCACACTGGGCATTTCTTCTTGTGAGTGACCACCGAGGGCACAGACATCCCTAACCTGTGGCAACAGCTTGACTTCTGAGCCTGCTTCGAAGCAGCAGAAATCCCCGTGACGGACAGCATGCTGGCGCCCTTCCCTGCTGAGTTGCAGCCACCCAGGCCCCTTCCAGCCATATAGTTTCAAAGCCGGGCCTGCTGAAGCCTCTGCCCTCCTCCCAGCCCCTCCCCACTCTGTGGCTCCCCGCATGCTCCTGCTGGGGGGCTCCAGCCCGCTCCCCTGCCCTGACTTTACCCACCCCGCAGGCTCTGCTGTATTCTGCTGGTGGCACTCATCTCTCCCTGACTTTGTGTGTCCCCAACCCTGGCTAGAAACTGGGCCCAGTGGGGTGGGCCCGGTGTCAGTCTCAGCCGTACCCCTGGGACAGAGCCCCATCTGTGAGCTTGTGACAGCACAGAGCCCTCTGAGCCCCAGCCTCACCTGGTCCCCCACTTTGTGGGCAATGACCGTGGCTCCCTCCTCCAGTTCTGCGTCATTGGGTGGGCGGATTTGAAGTGCCACCTGCAGGCAGTCACCAGGGCAGCTGCACGGGCCCTCTTCATCCTCGGGCCCCCACCCTGCAGCCCAGCCGCCACCCCGGCCCTCTGGCTCTGGGATCTGCTCAGTCTCCGTGAAGAGGCAAAGGCAGCAGCTCAGCCCCGCACCCCTCAGAGTAGGCTCTGACTTCACTCCCACGGGGCTGCCCATGCCCCCAACAAGACGTGGCTTCCCTCACTGAGCATTTGGGGAGGCTGGGGCACACGGCAGGGAATGCCTGGCCAAGGCCTCACCTTCTGCCCAAGGCCTCACCTCCCGGTCCTGCCACCTCCAGAAGAGACGCTGAGCTCCTTCAGGGGAAACTTCTCCAAGGGGAAACTGTGGGCCTTGCCCTCCCCACTCCCTATTCTGAGGGCCAGATCGCGGCCTCAAACCCACCCCAGCTGCATAGGAGCTGTGGCCCCAGGATGCCCGTTTCCCCCTCTGTAAAAGGGACACAGTTTTTTGGTAGAAACAGCAGCTGTGACTGAGGGACAGTCATGACTGGCATCTCTTCTTACCCAGCTACAGCACTGGGGTAAGTCACCAGCTCAGCTCACCGCTGTCCAGTTGGCAGAGGCTCTGAGTCCCCCAGCAGATGGCCTGAATTGGGCCCGGGGAGGGGGCTGGGGAGCCCGGAGCCCACCCGCCCAGGTGCCAGCAGCATGGGGATTAGGGTAGAGAGGGTGTCTGGAGGCTTAAGGCAAGGATGGGGAGGCGGTGGGGAAGAGCAGGCAGGGCAGCTAGCTTCCAGGGAGGGAAAGTTGGGGAGTAGACTGGGCTGATAACAGAGGGGTTGCTGGGGTTGCAGGCTTGGGAGGCGGCGGGCAGCGGGCACTCGCAGTGTCGGGGGGCGGGGACATGAGGGAGGGCGCTCACCATGAGTGGCTGGTCCTTGGGCTCCATCTCTCTCAACACCACCGGGCTGTCCCGGGTCAGGGAGGGACCTGCGGCCTCGCAGGAGGGCATGGGCAGTGGGACGCACTCCCTGCTATCCCAACAGAGGTGAGACCTGCCTGCACTCAGCCCCGCCCCGCCTAGGTAACATCAGCTGGGCCTCGGGGGAGCCGGGCTGGAACCGCTTAGGTGGTTGGGGCCCCAAGGAGCAGGGTGGCCCTCCCGATCACCTCTGCACACAGGGACAGCAGCCTCTCTCTCCACCCTCACTATGGCAACCCCGGGTTTCCACGTGCCTCACCTGGTGCACATGAGCCGGCCTGACATCCACCAGGACGCAGGTGGAGGGACTGCCCCTCTTCTTTGCAGGGTGGGTCCCTCTCCCACCTTGAGCCCAGGAGAGGCGCTGCCCACCCCAGGACCCCTCACGCAGAGACTAGGATGGATCTGGAGCTTTTCTCCTGAAGCAGACAAATGGCAGCAGCCGAAGCTTCACTCAGCAACTTGAGCAACTTGGACTCCAAGTGCCGTTTCCAACGGGGACCACGCTTCTTTTTTTTTTTTCCTGTCACCCAGGCTGGAGTGCCACGGTGCAATCTTGGCTCACCACAGCCTTGAACTCCTGGGCTGAAGTGATCCTCCTGCCTCAACCTCCCGAGTAGCTGGGACTACAGGTGTGCACCACCATGCCCATTATTTTATTTTATTTTGAGACAGAATCTCGCTCTGTCATCTAGGCTGGAGTGCAGTGGTGCAATCTCAGCTGACTGCAACCTTCACTTCCTGGGTTCAAGCAATTCTCCTGTCTCAGCCTCCCAAGTAGCTGGGATTAGAGGCACCTGCCACCATGCCTAGCTCATTTTTGTATTTTTAGTAGAGACGGGGTTTCCTCATGTTGGCCAGGCTGGTCTCGAACTTCTGACCTCAGGTGATCTGCCTGCCTTGGCCTCCCAAAGTGCTGGGATTACAGGCATGAGCCACCATGCCTGGCCCACGACCACGTCTCTGATGCACTAGGCGTGGTCTCCTCCGCTTTCCCAGTCAGTGTTCAGATTCGCTCTCAGGTGTATTCAACACCTAAAGACTGTGCTCAACTTTTCCACTGCAAGCCCGGGCGCGGGGGGGACGCCGAACTGTGAACCCACACCCCAAGGTCACTTTACCCCACCAGGCTGCACTAATCAGAGTGCAGGACGACACTGCCCAGAGCCAGGGTCGGTGCCAAGCACAGAAACCCGCTCCTGCACTGACAGAGATCACACCAAGGCCAGGCCGGGCGTGATGCATGCCTATTGTCCCAGCTACTCAGGAGGCTGAGGCATGAGAATCTCTTGAACCCGGAAGGCAGAGGCTGCGGTGAGTTGAGATCATGCCACTGCACTCCAGCCTGGGCAACAGAGCAAGACCCTGTCTCAACACACACACACACACACACACACACACACACAGAGGAAAGAAATCACGCTAAGATTAGATCCAAGCTGTTCAAACCTGGCAAGTCCAACTTCATGATTCTAACTATGGAGTTGAAAGGGCCTGGGGGTCCATGCCCGCCAGAGTAGGCGACTCAAGCCCTCCCAAGAGCCACCGTGCCTTTCCTATAAGCCGACTGCCTGGCAGCTCAGCTGGGCAAGGCCAGGGCATGTTTGGCCACATCCCTCTTCCTTGGCATCCGGGTCAGTGCTGTGCTGCAGGAAACCCCTGCCAGGTGGATTTGGCAAGGATGGGGCGACACCTCCAACACCCACGTCCCATTCCTCTACGAGGATGAGGCTCCAGCGTCTGACCAAGGCACTTGCCAGGAACACAGCTATGGGTCCCCGCGTTCTTGCCTGCCTTGGCCTCCCGAAACACAACCAAGGCCGTGCCTGCAGCAGGGGTCCCATGCCCACCCTGACGTCCTGAGCCTGCCAGCCCTGGGGACCCTGATACCCAGGAAGTCCCTCCGCAGCAGGCGGGCTCTGGGAGATCCACGTCTACCGTAGCAAAGTTAAAACCAACACGAGGGCTTCAGAAATCTTTTATTTATGAATTATATGCAACAGTGACAACTAGTACATTTAAAAGTGGGAAGTTAATGTTTTTAGAAGGTCTGTTCTACCATGACAGTTCTACCACAATCTGTCATGTGGTAGAACTCTGTGTCTTTCTTCTTTCCATGAAATCAGAAAAACTGTTTCTTGGCACACTAGAGTTTAAGCTGCGTGAGTGTAAACAAGAATTACTAATAAAATGTGCACCGGAGGCTGGGCGCGGTGGCTCACGCCTGTAATCCCAGCACTTTGGGAGGCCAAGACAGGCGGATCACGAGGTCAGGAGATCGAGACCATCCTGGCTAACACGGTGAAACCCCGTCTCTACTAAACAAATACAAAAATTAGCCGGGCGCGGTGGCGGGCGCCTGTAGTACCAGCTATAAGGGAGGCTGAGGCAGGAGAATGGCTTGAACCTGGGAGGCGGAGCTTGCAGTGAGTGGAGATGGCGCCACTGCACTCCAGCCTGGGCGACAGAGCGAGACTCCGTCTCAACAACAACAAAAAAAAGTGCACCGGAGGGACACAGGACAAACGGCAGGATTGCAACCATTCTACAATTTTAGAATCGCAGATGAGAGAAACGTAGGGCTCATAAAAAAGAAAAAGCACCAAGGCACCCTCCACACACCTGGGAGACCGTGGGACCCGAGGCTCTAGGCCACTCCTCCAGGGCGGCAGGCGCCTGGGTCCTCTGCCCCGTGAATTACAGCCCCTCCGTCTCCAGACGTTGCCTTAGGTTTGTAAACATCCCTTGGCTGTGAGTTCTGAGTGCTGCCTCAGGTCTGACAAGTTGAAAAGAGGTGGATGAAACTGCAGGGTCACAGGTGCTGCTGGGAAGTGAGACCCTGTAAACAGGAGGGGCTGAAATTCCCCCAATTTATGTGCTCCCTTCCCAACAGGAAACAATTTCAAGATGACCGCATAAAAATGGGCAGAACTGGCCGGGCATGGTGGCTCACACCTGTAATTCCAGCACTGTGGGAGGCTGAGGCAGGAGAATCACTTGAACCCGGGAGGAGGAGGTTGCAGTGAGCCAAGATCGTGCCACCACACTCCAGCCTGGGCGACAGTGCGAGACACCGTCTAAAAATTAAAAAACGGGCAGAACTGACCATTCTCAATACAAGTTTCCCAACATGTCTAAGTCCAGGGAAAAGTCACACGGTTCTCACCACGGAAAACGACCAGCATCTTTCACAGAAAACAACACAACCGAAGAGACTGGTGTGCCTAGTGCATCGCTGGACACAGGGTGGCCAAGTGTGTGTGACGACTGGACAGGACAGGGCCCTGCAGAGGTCTGGCTGGGCAAGCAGGCCCTTGCCACTGGGGAGGGAGGCAGGCACCAAGTTCAAGGTCACTATCTACATTCAAAGAGAGGAGAAAGACGGGTGTTTCATACAAGTTTGCTTTTATTTCCACGTTCAACCTGTGGAGAAAACCGGCCACAACCTGCACAGTGGGGGTATGAGGCATGGCGGCGCCCTCCCGGTGGGTCTCCGAGACACGTCCGGCACTGCCCGCGATGGGGATGCAAGTCCTTCAACGGAAACGCCGCTCAGCTGTGTACAGGCACCGTGGAAACATCACTGGGCGCAGAAGGTGCTGCCGGCGGCGTTGCTAAGAGTCTACAGAGCCAATACCAGTGGTTCCGACAGAAAACTCCAAACAAGGAAGAAGTGGGCCGGGCGTGGTGGCCCACGCCTCTAATCCCAGCACTTTGGCCGAGGCGGGCGGATTACGAGGTCAGGAGATTGAGACCATCCTCGCAAACACGGTGAAACCCCGTCTCTATTAAAAATACAAAAGATTAGCCGGGCGAGGTGGCAGGCACCTGTAGTCCCAGCTACTCGGGACGCTGAGGCAGGAGAATGGCGTGAACCCGGGAGGCGGAGCTTGCAGTGAGCCGAGACTGCGCCACAGCACTCCAGCCTGGGCGACAGAGCGAGACTCCGTCTCAGGGAAAAAAAAGAAGAAAGAAGTGGAAGCGGGTGCCTTAAACACCCCACTGCAGACACCAGGGGCTGAAAGGCACAAAAACGTGTCGCAATGGCAGAATCCAGGCGCGGTCACAGTCCAGAGCCACAGAGCACGGGGAGGCGGCGGCAGTCACATGGGCTTCCTGCAGGACGGCCTCGGCTCCACACACCACACGCAGCTGCACTGCAACAGAGGAACCTCGGCTCACGCTCTGTCCTGCAGCTCAGTGCGGAAGCAGCGGGTGCAGTCTGCCCCCTG